TCCTGGCCCTGCTGCTTCTGTCTGTGCACCTTGAGAGACAGTGGATGGTGGCTCACGGAGCCGGGTCCCTGTACGCATGTAGGAGACCTGAATTGAGTTCTGGGCTCCTGCCTTGTCTTGTCTCGTCTCGTCTCTCTCTTTCTTTCGGTCTTTCAAATAAATTAAACAAATAGCTTTGTTTTAATTGAGCTCAGATGTTAGCAATTCGTGCAATGAGTGGCATGCCTTGGGCTCAGTCATGGGGGTTGGAGACAATGGGACTAAGAACAGGAAGTGGACTGGTCAAACCTGTGGAACGTGGAAGGGGTGAGGCAGAAGGACTCGGGGCGTGAGGAGGACTGGATGCTGTTAGCAAGTGCCATGTCGTCGTGGGGAAGGGCCAGGATGTGACATCCAACCAGGGACATTTTGTAAGAGACATGGGGGCGCTGCTGGTAACTGTGTCCACGTGATAGGTGCAAACCAGGATCATCCCTGACCCACTGGTATCATATAGTCCCCCGGACTGCCTGGCTGCCTACCCCGTGACCTTGGGCAAGCTCTCTGACCTCTCATTTCATTTCTGCAGCATGAGGATGATGCACACACCTATCTCACGGGGTGTTATGAGGATTAAAGGAGCTAATGGGGTGGACGTTGGGTGCTGTGGTTAAGCTTCCACGCGGGGTGCCAGCGTCTCGTGTTGGAGTACCTGGCCAGCTCTGCTCCCTCCCGGGTTCCTGCTAAGACATCTGCCTGGAGGCGGCTCCGATGGCTCAAGAACTTGGGTCAGTGCCACTCCCGTAGGAGACCTGGGTTGAGTTCTGGACTCCTGACTTGAGCCTGGACCAGTCCTGGCCCAGCCCTGGCTGTTGTGGGTGTTTGGGGGAGATACTGTACTGCACCCCAACACCAACCCTCAGTCCTCAGGTTTTAAAAAGGCAAAGAAGTGCCCAGGAAGAACATAGCAGAAAAGGACAGTCTGTGGAGGAGACAAACTGTTTGCCCAAAGATAGGAGCAGAGCCCTGACTAGTACATGGAACGTGTGTTGGTCCTTGCAAATACAGTGATGCTTAAGAAAACATGTCGCCTAGGGCAAGAAGACTGAGAATTCTTTGCGCTAGAATTTAATTCAAGTTCCACCTACATCACCAGCCATGGGACTCTATAGTTAGCAAGCAAACCCTCATGTGGCCCACATGGTCCACTCTGCTTCTGGACGATGGCCCTAGGCTAGCGCCCTGCCCTGCTCCCGGGCTCTGCTAGGCACATCTGGCCACGACTCCCCCTGTGCGTGGGGGAGAGGGGCCCGGGTCTGTGGAGGAGGAGGAAGCAGGCCTCCCCCAGTGGCACAACCCGCGTCATGGCACACCAGGCCCTGGTGGAAGTGCCTAGGGCGTGGCTTCGCCAGCAAGGCGTCTGCAGCTGCTTCTCTGAGCTGTCCCGTGGTGTCAGTGCCCAGGGGCTGACTGCTGCCCCGGGACCCCAGCTTTGTTCCACAGGAGGGACAGGACCCCCGAGGCTGCCTTACCAGGGCATCTGGGAAGTCACAGCCATCTCAGCAGAAACCGGGTCCTGACCGTGACTTTCACGTAAGAGGACCTCGTGCCTGACTTGCACCTGGCCCGACCCTGGCTCAGCCGTGCCTGATGCACACTTCCATGGCAGGGCTGAGGGCCGGGGACTTTCAGGGGTAGGGGGGACACTGACAGCTCCAGGAGTGGCCCCCTCTGAGAACAAGTGGACCATCCCAGTTTTCCTGGGGTGTTACCCAGGGTTAGCACTGAAAGCCCCATGCCCCAAGAAACCCCTGTGTCCTGGGCAATTCGGGGTTGTGAGTCACCCTGCCTGGGAGCAAAATCTCCAAGGTCTCACCCCAAACCTAGCAAACCAGAACCCCTTGGGGAGGGGCCACCCATCTGAGCTCTGGGGTCTGATGCGTGCTCAGGACAACTGCTGTCCCGTTCAGCAAATACCCAGAGAAGGTGGCAACTTGCCCGGGCCCAGGCAGCGAGTAAAGAAAGGGCGGAGCCGGAGGAAGAGTTCCCAGCACTGCCATGGCGCTGCCCCCACCACGATCAACAGGGTCGGAGCAGAGTCCCCGAGGCCAGGTCATCACAGACGTTAGCGTCCATCACTAAGGCCTGCCAAGACCATGTCACTGCTGTGGTCTGCGGGCTGCATGGGGACAGGCACCTCCAGAGAGGGTGGGAGCCGCTGGGCCCTGCAACAGAAGGGCGGCAGGGGGAGCGTCCCTGTAGCGTGAGCAGACGCCTGCAGCAAGGACCACCCAGGCTTTTGGGATCCCTGGGAAGAGCACAGCTGGGTGCGTAAGGAGCAGAAAGACCACCTGCTGCCTGATGGGCTGCTGCAGCCTCGGCGTGGACGTTTTTTCAGTCGCCAGCCGCACCAGCAGACCCCAGATCAGTAAGGTTATAGAAGACGCAAAAATTACCCAACTAAGCCTGCTGGGCAGCATCATGCAGCCTGCAGGGGCAGGATTTGCACTCTTTCCAGGGGCCCCTGAAACACGCCCCGGGATTGAGACTTGGACGATGCTGCCTGTTCTCCTTGTGTCTGGGTGCCGCTTGTCGGCCAGCAGTGAGTGACTCCTGGCTACACACCGAGCAGAAAAGGAGCCTGGGAAATGCCCCTTCCCTGGATGGCCAAGGACCGAGCAAGAGGAAGGGGAAGGCAGCAGCGTCTGGCCCTGCTTCCTCCTGTCCCCAGGCAGCTGGGGCACTGAGACGCCCCCCCGCCCCCTGTCCCCAGGCAGACACCGCACTTCCATTCTGCCTTTGCCACTCCAGAGCTGACCACTTTCCAGGGAACCCATCTAAGCCTCTGTGTGCCAACCTTGCAAACCGAGAACAGCCCCACTTGGAGGGGATTGGGCGGGCCGACTGAGCACTGGGCCTGGGCCTGCAGGTCCTGGGCCTGGCACACGCCAAGTGCTTCGTAAGTGACAGCTGCGCAAAGAGGTGCAGGAAGATGCCCAGGGTCACACGGCCGGGAAACAGCAAGGCTAACTTTCAGGTGCAGGCGCAGGCGTCTGGCCCCTCGCTGGCACGCCGCCACCCCCGTCACGGGGCCCTGTGGAATGCTTAGCAGTGGAGGACAAACCACCAGTGAGAGAAGTCGCTCTCACATGGGTGCCTGAGCTCAGACATGCTAATGCCTCCTGTTCAAGGTTAACAGGGGCCTGGAGGGCCCCCTGACCCGCCAGTCCACGGCTCTTCCATCTCCACTGCGAATGACCAAATTGTGACCATTCGATGTGCATTCCTTGGTTAAGTCCTGTCTTCTGCTTGGCATCCTTCTTCCCTTTCGGGCGGGCTCCTTTCCTGCAGGGCTGGCATGAGTCCAGGGGGTGGGGGCCGGGGGCTGTCCAGGGGGCCGGCGGCCCGGTGACCACGGGAAGGCCCTCTGGGGGTCAGCCCCACCTCCCCCGAGTCATGACTTCCTTTTCTTGCCTCTTTCTGCAGTCCTGCCCCCACCCCGCCTGCTTCTCCAATTAAACTGGAGAAAAATGGGTTTTGTCTTTTTTTAACAAGAACTCTGAAACTCTTAAATTACCTTCTTCAGGGTCTGCAAATAGAAAACCCAAATAAGCCAGCCACCTTTTCCTCCTCTGCCTTCCCACTTCTGTCTTTGAGAGCCTCTGGGCCCGGGAGAAGGGCACGGGCTGTAAGGGGGGGCCCACCAGGGGTTGGCAAAGATGGAGATGGGCAAAGCCAGCACCTCAGGCAGTGGCGCTGAAAGGAGAGAGGGTCCCACGATGTGGACGGCTCTGTAGGGCGCAGCTGTTGAGTGAGGGCAGACAGGGGCCCAGGGTTCATGCAGCTCGAGAAGAACCACAGAGGGTTCAGGCTGTCCGAGAAGCAGGTGGGATTGGCAGGCGCACGGGGGCCTTCGCTGCCTCCGTACCACCGCTGGTGTCGCAGCTGCCGGGGAGTCCACCACCAGGCGTCAAGACAGGTAGGGTGTCCGGGCAAAGACTGAGTTCTAATCCTACTCTATGGCATGTCAGAAAACGAACGGGGGTTTATTGAGCACTTACTATGAGCCAAGCCTGTCCATGGGTTATCCCATGTAATTGTCAAGATGATCCTATGCCGGAGGTCTGATCGTTATTCCCCATTTACCGATGGACTCTGAGGGCTGGGTGTGACACGTCTAGTGACAACTCGGTGTCCTGCCAGACCTCCGGCCTATCTGCACCTGCTTCCTTGAGGGGGGAATCGAGATGCAGGGGACAGGACGGGCGGTGGCCTGGGCAGTCGCTCAGGTCCTTTCCCACACAGGTGTTCTGATCTGGGGCTCGTGCCACACCTTTGCATGCAGGGATGGTGTTGAGAGGATGCTGAGTGCAGGGTGCCAGTGCAAAGCAGTAACACTGAGAGACAGACAGACAGACAGACTCACGTCTTGCAATGCTGATGAGATAGGACAGGAGAATAAGAACACGAGACCAGTGCAAAGTCTGTGGAAGATTTGCAGGGACGTGTGTGTGGTGTAGCAAGTGGGTCACCCGTTGGGATGGCCAGCTGCCATATCAGCATGCCTGCTTCATTCGATTCCTCTGCTCCACTTCCAATCCAGCTCCCTGCTACCTGGGAGTCAGCAGGTGATGGCTCGAGTACTTGCTACCACTCATATGGGAGACCCAGATGGAGTTCTGTGACTGTTGCAGGCATTTGGGGAATCAGTCAGCAGATGGGAGAGCTCTCTGTATCTCTGTCTTTCTGCCTTTCTAAAATGCAAATAATTTTGTAATTTTAGAAAAAATTGTGTGTTAGACATGTGTTGAGAGGACAACACTGAGATCCAAAGGTCTAGAAACTTCTACGCCAATTCAGGTGCATTAGATGTCCAGAAGCCGTTGCATTGCCACCATCTTTCCTCTATACACCCCCCTACCACCACCACCCAGGGCCAGATGATGGCTAAGGCCTTGGAAGGCGGCCTTGGCCATGGGGAGGCCCGGCTTCCCCGCCCAGCCTGTGTGTCTTCTTTGCAGGAGAAGCAGCCATGGCACGGTACCAGCTGCAGCAGGACGACTGGCTGGTGGTCTACCTGAAGTACTTACTGTTCGTCTTCAACTTCTTCTTCTGGGTGAGTGTGTTCGCCTTCCCCATGCACGAGTGAGTCAAGTCCCTTGGTGCTGCGTGAGTCACCTCCGCCTCCTCAAAGACCACCCAGGGGCAGCTTCTGCCCACTGCAAAGCAAACATGTACATTTGCCACCAAGGGGGAGGAGAGGAAGGCGGTGTACGGGCTGGCATGGAGCCCCTGCCCTACAGTGACTCAACAGGGCACGGGCGTGATGAGTAGCCTTGTGTTCCTGCACCAGTACAGAGAGTCCAGTTCCTTCCTCCCTGCCGATTTGCAGCCTGAGTGCCTGGGGACAATGTGATAGCCTGAGAGGGATGATGGGGCCGGCGCCGCGGCTCACTAGGCTAATCCTCCGCCTTGCGGCGCCAGCACACCGGCTTCTAGTCCCGGTCGGGGCGCTGGATTCTGTCCCGGTTGCCCCTCTTCCAGGCCAGCTCTCTGCTGTGGCCAGGGAGTGCAGTGGAGGATGGCCCAAGTGCTTGGGCCCTGCACCCCATGAGAGACCAGGAGAAGCACCTGGCTCCTGCCTTCAGATCAGGATCAGCGCGGTGCACCGGCTGCAGTGCACCAGCCGCGGTGGCCATTGGAGGGTGAACCAACGGCAAAGGAAGACCTTTCTCTCTGTCTCTCTCTCTCACTGTCCCTTCTGCCTGTCAAAAAAAAAAAAAAAAAAATTTGAGAGAGATGATGGCTGGTTCCCTGCTGGGGCCCACTGCCCTCTCCTGGTTCACAGTCTCTGAGCTGAGGACACAGAAGCACAGGTCTTGGGGGCTCCAGGCTGCTGCTGCCAGCCATGAGCATGGTCTCTATGGCGACCCCCCCTCCCCCCAGGAAGCCTGGGTCTGCTCCCAGAAGGCAGTGGCCTTGGTAACTGGAGGGTGGACATCCATCGCTGGCCCAAAGGGGCAGGCCCGGGATGGAAGGCGTGTGTTTTGTGTTGTGATGGTGCCACGTCTGGGGAGGTGGAAGGGTTTGAGGGTGGGGGCTGCTCCCTTCTGATGCGGTGGTCTTGGGTGGGGCCGCTTGCCTGAGTTCCAAGGGTTGGTTTTCCCAGCTGCAACTCAAGGATCGTTTCCAGTCTTTGGGGTTGCATTCAGTATATGGAGCATTTTGAATCTATGAAGATACTTCAAAAGAAGTGAGTGGAAGATGGATTAACAGGTGACTTGGACGTGGGTGTTAGCTTAGAGGTCAGGACACCCACGGCCCATTTCAGAGGGCCTGGGTTCGAGTACCAGGTCTGGCTCCTGACCCCAGCTTCCTGCTGTGCAGCCCCTGGGGGGCCGTGGGGATGGCTCAAGGAGTGGAGCCAACCACAATTCCTAGCATCTAGCTTTGGTGTGTGCTTGGTCCCGGCTGTTGTGAGCATTTGGGAAATGAACCAATGGACGAGAGATCTTCCCCTCTTTTTCTCTTAAATTAAAAACAAAAAAAAGTTTTAATGCAAAAAATTTTTGACGTCTATGCAGTTTTTACAAAATAGGTAAATTCCAAGACCCCTGCATATAAGGTATTAAATGTCTAAAAATACCACCAAATCAGGGCTGGCATTGTGGCACAGCAGATCAAGTCACTACCTCCAATGATGGCATCCCAGATGGATGGCCAGTTCCAGTCCTGGCTGCTTTGCTTCCAGTCCAGCTCCCTGCTAATGCACCTGGGAGAGCGGAGGAAGATGGCCCAAGTGCTTGAGCCCCTGCCACCCACGTGGGAGACCCACATGGAGTCCCTGGCTCCTGGCTTCGGCCTGAGTCAGAGCTGGCTGTTACAGCCATCGGGGGAGCGAACCAGTGGATGGAAGATCTCTTTCTCTCCGTCTCTCTGTCACTCTGCCTTTTGAACAAGTAAAGTAAGTCTTTAAAAAAATTATCCTGCCAGATTAACTGACAGTGTGCAGCTGGGTTTCCTGCTAACCATGGAAAGGGGGCACCTTCTCACTTGATGGCACCTTGGAAGCTTCCAGAAATGCACGTGCACCTGGGAGCTGTGTCTGCAGAGGCGTGGTTGAGTCTGGGGAGGACCATGGTCGAGTAGTTGAGGACGTGGACACGGCCAGGCAGGAGCCGTGCAGAGGCTTGGAGGACAGACAGTCACCAGGTGCTATCAGCCTAAAGCTGCAGTCAGGTAGTTGTTTCCATGCATTTTGCAAAGTTTCTGAAACAAACAGTGAAGTTATTTGCAACTTTACTCTTCTGAGCAAGACTTTCCAGGAATAGTGAAGCCGAGATGATGAGGACAGGAGAGTGATAAAGCCACATTGCGGGCCGTGAACCCCGGGGGTGTGGGTGTGGGTGGCTTCCCTTCCCAGAGATGAATCTGATAGGGTGCTTCGGACGCTTGCTGAGTGAGCATTTCTTTTTCAGAATAACTGTCTTCCGGGATGATAGAAGTCTCATGTCGCCACTGTAGGCAGTCTCCAAGAGATTGGAAAGTATAAAAAATAAACTGCCCATATCTCATTATATACGGTACTGCAAGTGGGAAGCTAGGTGTTAAGCACAGTGGTTAAGAGGCTGCTTTGAACACTTCCGTCCCCTGTCAGAGTGCCTGGCTTCACTGCCAAGTCCAGCCTCCTGCTCATGCACACCCTGAGAGGCAGGGTGAGGGCCCAAGTGCTCCCTGCCACCCGTGGAGAAGATTCAGATTGAGCTCCTGGCTCCTGGCTTCTGCCTGGCCCAGTCCTGCCTGCTTTGGCATTTGCATCAGCCAGCACCTTGGCCTTGGCCTTGAGCCTCCAGAACTTTGAGGCGCTGTCCAGGCCATGCTGTCTGTGGGATTCTGCTAGGCAGGCAGTCCTCACAAACAGAGATGCTGGGACAGCCCATCTCACAGAGCCTTGCTTTTGTCCTGTGTGAAATCAGAGTGCCGATGCCTGTGAGAAATGGAAGTGAATATGCAGAAAACCGCTCGTGTAACTCTCAGGATCAGACCGATGGACAGACCTCAGCCCTGTCCTGGCCCACGTAAGAAACGCTGGGAAGCATAGGAAATGCTCACGTGAAACATGGAACACGAGATGACCTCATACGTGCCCCGCACTCCGATGGCGTCTCGGGTTTAATTTTCTTTGCTGGAGGATACAGCTCACTAAATTCTTATTTCATGACCCTAATGGGTCACATTCTGAGGTTTGCAGGACCCAGAGCCGTGCCACCATCCCCTGTCACCCTGCCCTTGAGGCACCCTTGGACGTAGCTGTGGGTCAGGAACCACCAAGGCCACAGCCCTCACTTCTCAAAAGAAAATGTGGAGGCTGGGGCTGTGGGTTAAGTTGCTGTTTGCAACATTGGCATCCCATATCAGGGCACTGGTTCAAGCCCCAGGTAGTCCACTTTCCATCCAGCTCCCTGCTAAAGCACCTGGGAAAACAGTAGAAGATGGCCCGAGTGCTTGGGCCCCTGCACCCACATAGGAGACCTGGATGCAGCTCCTGGCTCCTGGCTTTGGATCGGCCCAGCCTCGACTCTTGCAGCCATTTGAGGAGTGAACCAGTGGATGGAAGCTCGCACTCTCTCTCTCTCTCTCTCTTACTCTCTCTCTCTCTCTCTCACTTTGCCTTTCAAATAAATAAATCTTTAAAAGAAAGAAAACGTGGTCCAGGCTTTCCTCTCTGCTGCCATCCTCCTTGCTTTTCTACAAGGCCCCCTACCGCTCCCATCTCCCTTGCGATGTCGCTCTCTGGTTTATTATTTTAATTAGCTGCCTGGCCATGTCAATAATCAGGACTGCTCCCACCTCCCAGGAGCTCTGCCAGGCTATGGGCAGAACAGGGAAGCAGTTCTTGACGCAGTGGGGGAGCCTCTGTCCTGAAGCCCTGGCCTGCCCTTCCCCTGGGGGCCAGGAGGGCTCAGCCTCCAGGGAGTCCTTGGATCCTCTCCAGGGAGACCTGGGGCTGAGGCAGGTGGCAGAGAGGGTGGAGGGCCCCAGGCCGGCCAGGAGAGGCCTGGCAGGGAAGAGCCAGAACCAGGACATAGTGAAGGAGACTCACTGCCTCCATTGCCATGCGTGGGCATGGCCAAAGACCACTCTCAACATACTGAAATGGTTAAGCCCCCCCCCCCAAGCTGTGTGGGCTTCAGGGCACCTCTGCCCTCTGTGCCAGGGACCAGGGGCACACTCAGTCTGCACAGGGCTGTGGCAGGCCAGGACGAAGCCTGTGATCAGTGCTCTGAGCCACCCCTGGCGTAGCCTGGACACCAGGCCACTTGCCTCGTGGGCAGGGCGGCTTTGGTGAAATGGGCGCCCAATGGGAAATTAGGCTTCTTGTGCCCTTCCCGGCTTGGGTGACCTTGGAGAAGTCCTGTGACCCTGGGCTTTTATGTCTGCACCCAGAACAGAAAAGGGGCTGGCTCGCTTCTTCCCCTCTCGCCCTGCTGTCCTCTTGGAGTCCCAGCGCATCCCCCCACTGTGCTGCTCCTCTGGGGATACCCAGATGTGTAAGACTTAATTGGGATGCTCGGAGTGGAGACACAGAGATGGCAAATCTAACAGAGACCGTGATAGGTGTGCACGCACCGTGGAGTGAGTACAGAGGGCAGGATGGTTTGCTGTGTGTGGGGACAGGGATGGCTCCAAGGATGCTTTCCTATGCGTTCTGAGCTGGGTTTGAAAGAGGATGCGGGGTTGGGTTGGGGGTGTCGTGGCACTGTGGGTTAAGCCACCACCTGTGACTCTGGCATTCCATATGAGTACTGGTTCAAATCCCAATCCAGCTCCCTGCTAGTGTACCTCAGAAAGCAGTGGCTGATGGTCCAGTGTTTGGTCCCCTGCCACCCACGTATCAGACCTGGATAGAGTTCCTGGCTCCTGGCTTCCATCTGGCTCAGCCCTGGCCGCTGCAACCATTTAGGGAGTAAACCAGCGTAAGGAATATCTCTCATTGATATTCTCTCTCATCCTCTCATCCATTCATATTCTCTCTCTCTCTGTGTCTCCTGTCTCTCTCTCTCTGTCTCTTTCTCTCTCTCTCTCTCTCTCTCTCTCTAACTCTGCCTTTCAAAT